ACAACTCCTGCAAGACACGGTCGGCCTTGTGAAGGGGAGACTCTACAAGGTATCGCGAAGCAGCGTCAGCTGTGAGGCGAGGTGTGCAATGGCAGCGACAGCAGACACTGTCTGTACAGCCTAAGAGGACGGATGCGCGTGTCGGTCCATGAACAGGCAAGGAGAGGAGGATGACATGGGCTTAAGGAGCAAACTGGTGCAGGGGCGTAGGAGGAGGGCTTTGTCCACCCGAGTCCTCGAGGCCGGGTTAGGAGGTGAGCTTAGGCAAGAGTCCTCCAGCCAGGCTGGAAAGCGTGTGAGAGGGGTCGCGCCCTCTCGTTGTAGTGTAGACAGCATGCAATACAATCTGTACCCGCCAGGCCGACACGCCAGCTCAATTATTGCCAGCGTGCGCACGGAAGCAATGGCAGACGAAGCTATCACAAAGGGATTTGCAATAAGTGGACAATTGCTGACAGCCTCAAGATACGAAGCAGGCTTTGTAGCCACACAGTGCTTCAGATGCCAGGGCTACGGGCACGTTGCAAGACACTGCAAGAAGGACATCCGATGTGCAGTATGCGCAGGGGAACACGACACAAGACAATGCACGGCAACAGACACTAAGAAGTGCGCCAACTGCAAGAGAAACCACCCGGCATACAGTGCCGAATGCAGCGTAAGGAAAGGGGCCCAGCTACGGGCTACGTCAAAGAGGTGGGCGACGCCACACCGATACAACACCAACAAGGGGCCGAGCTTGTACACGCCCCAGGCCCCGCTGGGGGTGTGTACAACCTCAACCCAGTCCAGGAAGAGGAGAGCTGCTGACGACAACGCACGCGAAGGCAGCACAGAACTAGGGCCAGCGCCAACAGCACTAAAGAGAGTAGGACGACCGAAGATGTTCGAGCATCCTAACAAGGACCCAAGCCAGCCGAAGATCAACGGAATGATGCAGACTGCTCGTTCAACGCAGCAATCTTCCTATCTAACGCCTTCTCAGACACTGCATACTTCTCGCTTTGCATCGCCATCCTTACAGCCTCTAACCCAGTTAACTTAATCAACAACGTACGGAGATATAGATGGACTCTCACAACTTAAAACTGTTACCTAAGTGCTGTCCTTACAGGAAGACAATGCAAGCCAGCAACTACGCGCTGAAACAGGTGCAGCGAACGCTGCAGACACTATAGACATAGTTCAATATTAGAATAACCTAGCACACTTACTATTATACAGTACAACGTTAATAAAAGCCGCGAGACCTAGAGGGAGTTCCTGGAAAAAGCGGAGAGAGCCCAGCTTTAACCGCTGGTGCTAGCAATATAAGAGCTATAGAAGAATATATAGTAATAAAAGCATATAATACTCTATATAAAGTTCTATTACCTTTTATACAGAGGAAGCCTATATATAAAAATATATATATATATTAATAAGAACTTTAATATTAACTAGTAGTTAGTAGAGCACTACTTACCGGATCTTATTACCCTCTTTTTCTATACTAGTAGAGAGGACATCTAAATTTATAATATCTATAACCCGAAACTAAACAGAATTATAGCTGTACTACCTTTACTACTAAATAATAACAACGCGGAGCATGTTTTTATAGGTAATATAAACCTATATTACCTATTATAGGAAGGAATATAAGTAATAAACACGGAGAAGCAAGCGGAGGAGCTTATCCGCATTATAATAGAAGCAGGAATAGACCTAGCTATAGAGAAAGGTATAGAAATATAGGTAAGAGGAATATTATAGTCTATAATTAACCTTATATTTATAATAGAATAGCTAATAAAACGAACTACTTTCTATATAGTATAAAAGGAATAGAACTGTAATTTAGATTACCGCCCTATATATACAGAGTTCGATATTACCCTACTAAGCGCAGTAGAATAGCTATAATATTAGCTGTAGAAGAATACTAACTAGAAAAAGGCGCGGAAGCACCTTTAAACCTAGCTAGACAAGCTAGATAACTAGAATAACTTTTAAAACACGGAGAAAAACCTTAATAAATTTGCACGCCTTTTTTATAAATATATACAGGCTATAATTACTGCTACGGTGCCTATTATAAGGCTATTAAAACAGGTATCGCCGGTATAGTTAGAAGAATACTTAGAAGAAGTATATAAAACTAGAAAGGCGTATAGAATATAGCGCTTATCGCAATTTATAAAGGACTAAATATTATACTATATTTAGTATAACTATAAAAAGAGAACTATATAAAGGGAAAGTACTAAAGCATAGCGCTATATAGTAGAAAAAGTAATAAAAAACCTAAAAAGTATATAAAAGCTAGCTAATTAGGGCTGTATAGCTAGTAAGGAATTAAGACCTCCGCCTTAATTTCCCCTTTTTTTAAAACCTAAGAACCCTACTCTATATATAGATAACAAAATAAAAGTATATATACTAGTAGAGCAGTTTTTTCCGCCTCCGGCTAATATAGACTTATTTAACCTAGAAGGGTTCTAATACCCGGAACTATATAATACTATACTAGATATTATAATTAAGGATATTTTTTTAGCGCTAATAGGAACTGCCCTAGATAAAGCCCCGGGTATTATAGGGATTACTAACAGGTTTTTTAAAAAGTGCGAAATATAGCTAGCGCCTACGCTGGCTTAGTTTTTTATAAGGTGCCTATATAAAAAATACTATTCTTAGCCGTTTAAAGATTTTATTATAGTAGTGTTATATAAGCCCTAGAAAGTATTCTATATAATAGCAAAAGCCTATAGGCCGATCGCCCTGCTAGAAATAATAGGTAAGCTATTTAAACGGATTATAGCTATACGGCTATCGAAAATTGCGGAAGAAAAGGATATACTTCTACCTAGTTAGATAGGGGCACGACTAGAATATTTAATATAGATAGTACTTAAGCTTTTTACTAAATAAATCCACGCTATATAGAAAGGAAATCTATAGCTTATAGTATTACTTTTTAGCCTAGATATATTAGGGGCGTTTAACTGTATATTATATAAATATATAATATATAACCTATAGATTTAATAAGTGCCGGAGTAGATAGTTAGGTTTATAAGGTTTTTCCTATAGAACCGCACTATAAGGCTTACTATTAGAAACTTTATAGCAGAATCTATTATAGTTACTATAGGAATACCGCAGGGCTTCTCCCTATTACTAATATTTTTCCTTTTCTTTACTAGCACGCTTCTACTAATACTATAGCGCGGTAATATAACGGCCTATAGGTTTATTAATAATATAAACATCCTTATATATAGCAAAAGTATAGAAAAGAACTGCAGGGCTATTAAACGGGCGCACAACCGGTGTATAAAGTAGGTAAGAAAGTATAGAGCAGTTTTTGCGCTAGATAAATACCACCTAATATACTTTATAAGAGCCCGTAAGTCTATTAATATAAAAGCTATAGTTAATATACAGGGCTTTACTAAAGGCCCTATAATAAACCTAAGAATACTAGGGGTTTAGGTAGATTCTAAACTTAAATAGGGCCCGTATATTAATACTATAAAGAATAAAGCCACGGCCTAGATAGGGGCCCTTATAAGGCTTACAGCGTTAACCTAGGGCGCAAGCTTCTAAAAGGCACGTATAATATACTCGGCGGTTATTAGGCCTGCTATTATATATAGATGCACCTTTTAGTATACTATACCGGGTATAAAAAAGCAGATTAGCAAGACAAAAATTAAGCAGCTTAAAATAGTATAGAACTAGTGCCTTTATACTATCTTAGGGGTATATAAGATAATAAATATTAGGGTAATAGAGCACAAAATATTATGCTCTTTACTCCGGCTAAAGCTAGAGGAACTTACAGTGGCCTACGCAGACCGCATACGTAAGGGGCCAGCCCGCAAGTATATTAAAACCTAATACAGCCGTATAAAAGAAACGGTCTATACTAAATACAGGCCGAAAGGAATACTATAGTACAGCCTAAGCAGGCGTAATAAACTCTATAAGCTCGCAGCGAAGGTATTACGGCTAGCCGCATAATATAAAGGCGAATCGGAAGAATTCTATAGGCGTATAAGGCGTGGTATAATCTAGGATAAATACAAAGAGAAGTGGAAAAAGGAATAGAAAGCCTACTATAAAAAACTATGCTAAGAACCTCTAATACTAGTACTTAATACTAAATAGAGCAAATAATAAAAGGTACTATATAAAGAACTTATAAAGGTAGAAAGTATAATTATTATAAACCTACGGATAGAGTATATAGGGCTTAATAGTTACCTCTACTATATAAAAGTGCCCGGCTACTTAACGCCGGCATGCCCTTACGGGTATAGCCTCTAATCCCTAAAATATATTATAATAAGTTGCGGAAAACACGTTAAGGGCAGGGGCGAGCTATTCTAGAAGGCTAAAATAAGGACGTATAAACAGCTCTATAGAAGCTAGAAAGGAAGAAAGGCTATAGCCTAATAGCTTTTCTAAAGAATAGACCTCCTGCTATACCTTTTAGTAGCTAGAAAAATAGCAGAGGCGGAGATATAGGTATTCCACCTTCTATAACTTTATATAACTATATATACTACGTATACTATATATACTATATATACTACGTATACTACGCATACTATATATACTATATATACTGCGCATACTATATATACTATATATACTACGTATACTATATATACTATATATACTACGTATACTACGCCGCCTATATTACGCACCTACCTAATAGCTATATCTACTTATATACTACAGCCTCTATATATATCGCAGCCTATATA